CTTTCCGGACGCCAAAACCTAAAGAATAATGTTTCGGTTGTGGCGAAGTATCTTACGGTTACGAGCTACTGGTATAAAATTAGGCGGGATGTCTCAACGCTGCTGCTGCGAATTGGCACTCGATGAGCGGAGTACTCGTGGTCGGGTGGAGTCAGTTTGCGGCTGCACAGCCGGATCGAGTGTAGCGAACATAAGCTTACACAAATATTGTCCTACAGGGCTAACCATGCTCTACGAAATAATTATATCATGTGGTGATTTAAGCGCTAAAAGCAGGATATCATTACGAAGCAAGCCGTACTAGAGTGTTCCGGAAATTTTGACTAGCTCTTGTTCTCTAACGTGCACGGGCATCGCACAGTACACGACCTTGATTATGTTTGTCCGCAACATCCGCTTGGCAGAAGTGTACACTCAAGTGAAATACTGTAGACAGCAGAAAAGCAACTGAGGAAGGGACAAAAAAAGGCTAAAGCAAGTAATTAGTTATATAAGCAGGTCATAGACGGCAAAAGAACAATGCCGAGACTTGGTAATGTATAATAGTTGCAAAATATGAACAATTAGGAAAGCGGTTATGCGAAGAAATAAGTTTGATTGAACAAAGTCTGAATATAGATAGCAAGAAGAACATTGATAAAATGCAATATTTGGTTATGTAAAAGGTTGTTCTGTCGGACATCTCACATCTCGCTTACACAACAAAGACACTCTCGTTTGTGCGTGCTATCGGCCTCCTAATATACCTGCTGGTTTTTCTTCAGATTTGTACGATGCCCTTAACATGCTTCATGTTCGGTTTCCCACCTCGCATATTATTCTTTTAGGCGATTTTAATTTCCCTGACATCCACTGGAATTCGCCTTGTACCTTACCTGGCTCCAGTGATTCCGAATCCACCTCTTTTATTAATACATGCTTAGAGTTTAACCTTAGCCAGTTAGTTAACTCCCCAACCCGTATCACGTTTACTAGTTCTACCATATTAGACTTGGTGTTCACAAATAACCCTGATCTCATCCAGTTTCTGTCAGTCGTGCCAGGTCTCAGCGATCACTCTGCCATTCACTTTCTCGTACCTAACACGCCGTCAAAAATTAGTAAAACTACAAAAATAATCAGAGATTACGGGAGAGCTGACTACACGTTAATTAATGCTGAACTGGAGACATTTTCACACGAATTTTTTTCTAGCTTTTCTGAACACTCGGTAAACGAAAACTGGCTACGTTTTAGAGCTAAAATCGAAGAACTTACCGACCGCTTCATACCACGCCGTAGAATAACCGATAACAATCGGTCTGCTTGGTTCACGCCTACTTTAAGGCGGCTACTTAATAAAAAGAAGCGCATCTTTCGAAGTGCAAAGCTCTCGGGCAACATCAAAAGATGGGATGATTATCGTAGTGTAGCCGACGAGTACGCACGCGCACTCTCACTTGCCAAGCACTCATATTTTGAACAAACGTCACCTTCTTTGTTAGTAACTAATCCTCGTAAATTTTGGCAGGTAATTGTGGAAATAACAAAAAACAAATTAACCTAGTTTCAGGGAGCGAATCATTTCTTCCAAGAGAAAATTGTTGCCTAGCTCTTAATAGTGTATTCGCATCATCATTTGTAAACGTGGCGCCTACCACTGTTCCTTACTTGTCTACTCGCAACTACGATCTAATGGAGCCAGTACACCTTGATTGGGAGGGCATAAGGAAATTAATTGAAAATCTCAAGCCTTCTTCTTCCCCCGGAGATGACGGAATTAACGCCAAGTTTCTCAAAAACACCGCATTGTTTTCGTCCTTAATACTGTGCAGAACTTTTTCACAGTCTTTGGAATCGAGTACCTTGCCAAACGACTGGAAAGTGGGAAGATGGTTCCTCTTCAAACGTCAGGTAACACCAACGATCCCCACAAGTATAGACCCATCTCACTAACTAGTGTGCAATGTAAGCTATTAGAACATGTCATTTACTGCAACTCAGTCAACTTTCTTGAGAATAATTCTTTTTTTACTGACTTTCAACATGGTTTTAGAAAAAGTTACTCGAGTGAAACTCAGCTCTTATGCTTTACTAATGATTTGTTCTCAGCTATTGATCGTGGTACTTTTATTGATTGTGTACTTATCAACTTTTCTAAAGGATTTGACAGAGTTTGTAACAAATTACTACTTTTAAAATTAAGTAAACTAAATCTTGACCCACACATATTAAAATGGATCGAGTGCTTCTTACGTAACCGCGAGCAATTTATGACTGCTAATGAATGTAACTCTCCTCCTACTGCCGTAACCTCAGGTGTGCCCCAAGGCTCTGTTTTGGGTCCCTTACTTTTTTTAATATTTATTAATGGTTTGCCTCATAACATTTCCTCCTCCATTAGGTTATTTGCTGATGATTGTGTTATTTACCGTGAAATTTTGACCTCCAACGACACTGACACCCTGCAATCTGACCTAGACAATATTTCTTCGTGGTGTAATAATTGGCTAATGAAACTTAACACAAATAAATGCAAATCAATGAGAATAGCTTGTAACCCTTCAAAAGTTGCGTACCCTTCGTACCTACTTAATAACACTCCCCTAAAAAGCGTTTCTTTTTACAAGTACCTCGGTGTTAACATTTCTAATAACCTGTCATGGCAGGCTCACGTTGGCTACATAACATGCAACGCTAATCGAACTCTTGGCTATTTACGTCGAAATTTTTCTCTTGCTCCAATTAACCTAAAGCTTCTCTTGTATAAATCATTAGTGCGGCCAAAACTGGAATATTCGTCGTCTATCTGGGATCCTCATATTCACATGCTCATAGACAACATTGAATCAATTCAGAATCACTCAGCACGTTTCATATTGTTCCATTACTCTCGAACTGCAAGTGTCACATTAATAAATGCTCAAATAAATTTGCATAACCTCTCAATACGACGCAAAAATTCACGTCTCTGTCTCTTTCATAAGATCTATCACACTAACAGAACCCTCTCTGATTCACTGTTTTTTCCACCAGCCTACATATAAGCACGCAATGACCATCAATACAAGGTTGGGGTTCCCTTCTGCCATACGAACCAGCACTTCAACTCTTTCATCCCTAGAACATGTACTGACTGGAACCACCTTCCCGCATCGATCGCTTCAATCACAGATGCCAATGCGTCCAAATCAATTATTTTTGAAAGTGCATTATAATTTATTCTAATCCTGCTGTTTTGTTTTACTTCTTATTATATTTGTTGTCCCACTCCTCTCTGTAATGCCCAGTGCTTTGAGAGTAAATAAATGAAATGAAATAACTAACAGTCAGTTCGATGTTTGTAGGAATCTCATTTGCATAGAAGTCAAGTTCATCATGGGTAAGTGAAGCTTACATTCACTAGTTACATCATAAGTTCAAATCTACGAGACGCAAAACAGCGTAATTCTTGCATTCGTCACAGAAAGAAGCATTATACCAAACATTTGATAACAACCTATCACACCAGTATATGCGGGGAAGACATCACAAGCATTACAGTGTGCAGCACAGCACAGTGGCTATGAATGAGTGCGTGTCACGGAATCGCGAAACTAAAAAGCAGGAAGAGCTGAAAAACAAAAGGTTGGCTGCAGGTATTTTTTGGCGCACTTGCATTTGTCGGGACGGCACGAACGCCGCCGCGTGACTTTCTCCAACCTATAAGGCACACGGTCTTGCTTTTCTGTCCTCGCGAGAGAACTGGCAGAAAGATAGGAAAATCGCGCAGTTTGCACGAAGCATGGGCCCGTCGCCGCTTCGTTCTCCCCGTCGACCGACTTGCCAAGCTTCGAGGTAAGAGGCTTCTTCCGGAGTTCTCTTTCTTTTACTCTTTTACAAGCTTTACTCCCTATATTAAAAAGCGTGGATGGATAGCCGACTAGGTAGCCGAGTTCAGAACACGAGTGCCGAATTCTCCGGCACGGGATAGCAGATCGCTGACATGTGAGACAAGGAGTAAGGACAGAGAACAATAAATAAAGAAAAAAATGCGATAAAACAAGCGAAACGAAGGTAGAGAAAGATAGAAATAGAGAGCACTTAAGAGATAAAGATAAAGAAGAGAATAAAGCGAGATGATCAAAGAAAGATAGAGAAACCAAGAGGAAGAGATAGAAAGAAACATGAAGAAAGAAATACGGCGGGAAGCAGACATAAATACAAATTGAAGATAGAGACAGAAATAGAGAGATAAGGAAAAGGGGGAAATGAAATAAAGACCACGCACGCGCACATACAGAGAGAGACTGAGAGAAAGAGAGATACAAGAGAGGAAAATAGAAAAAATGCCTAATAATGCAAACATCAGCAAAACAGCAACAGTCAGCACTGCCCATAAAGTAAGATATTATTATTATTTTTTATTTTTTTCTTTCTTTATCTATTTCATATTTCTCTTTCGGAAAACGCGGATTTTTCGCTCGGAATCAGCGACAATGACGCCAACGCCAGAATATGTAAAAAGAGGGGGCTTTAGTTCTATCATCGCCTAAATACTGAATGCATGGCGAATAATATTGGTACAGTGATACTGACACAATAAAAACCTTGAAACACACACACACACACACACACAAATATATATATATATATATATATATATATATATATATATATATATATATATATATATATATATATATATATATATATATATTCTTCATAGACTCGGTCATGTTATAGGTGCTCGACTGAAGCAAACAAACAAAAAAACCGTGCTTTACTGCCGTCCGCTTGCACTAGAACGCCCATTGATTATACATAAAAACGACAAAGAAAAACCATGTGGACGGCGGCAGTGCGCAATAAAACCGTGCCTGCATCGCAGTATACAACTTTACGAAGTGCATAACAATAATTGTTTAAGTTTGACATCCCGTAACCATGGTATAATTAAAGAGTGTTACGCTTGTACTTGCTTCAGGGTGTTACGTACAAAGAGGCTAGGGTATTAGAATTACAAAGTATTGGTTGCTCACCGAACATGCTGGAAACGATGACAATCCGTCCTTGCGACTTTTTAAGCAGTGGAAGGAACTTCAGGACCACGGCAGTGGCTCCGATAACATTTACGTCGAACAAAGATCGAATCTTCGCCATACTGTGCCACTCCAGTGGGCCGACAGTCGTCACTCCGGCATTGGACACCACTGCCCACAGAGCTGCAGGAGAGAGCGGCAACTTTTGTTCTAACAAAACTAGAGGCTTCGTCATTTGCTCATGACGCCACCAAACGTGGCCACATCAGCGCGGACGCTCACTATCGCGTGTGCAGCGCCTTCAGAAGCAACGACAGAGGGCGCTAGTAAACATCAGTAGGCCGAAAAGACACCTTTGAAGAAGAGGCCGATGAGCCCGGCATCTCTTTGGCCATTTTTTAGCCAGATTTTACTGAGCCGCGCATATATATGTATGCACACTGTGGTTCAAATACTGCAAAGCACGATGTAAAATAAATCTTGTGTCATGGACATTTATACTAGCCCCTAAAAAAAGCGAGCACACAATTAGTACATTGTTAGTAATAGTGCAGTTAGGTGTCATTTGAACATGCCTGCATATGCATAATTTCCGTTTTAATTATTACATGGGCATTTGTTGAGTTCAAAACATAAAAATTAATTAAGCCTAATTAAAAAAAAGTAGTCGTGGCTATTTCAGTACACTGGGAACAATAGTTATGCTTCGTGTAGAGACGGAAGTCTTTAAAAACATTGTGTGTGTTGCCAGAACTTATTAGCATGAAGTACCCTTTTATTGAATTGCAATATGCCGGGGCTCACAAACACTGATGGAACAATTATCAATGTTTTCAAACGTCGTAGCATCTGTGTTGTGATAAGTGGGGTTAACGTTCCAAAACCACCACATACTTATGAGAGACGCCTTAGTGAAGGGCTCCGAAAATTTTGACCACCTGGGGTTCTTTAAGGTACACCCAAATCTGAGCAGACGGGCCCACAACATTTACGCCTCCATTTAAAATGTAGCCGCCACAGCCGGGATTTGATTCCACCACATGCAGGTCAGCAGCCGAATACCTTAGCCACAATACTACCACGGCGGGACTCGTAGCATAGGTATTAAGAATACATGAAATGTAACATGTGCCTTTCTTGGTTGTTGCACGCACACAACAGGCGCATCTCGTTGTTGGCCCCCTCATAGAGTACGGCCGTCGAAGGGCTGTCGAGCATTTTGCGCAAAAGCAACATGGAAGTGAGGATCATTTCATATGTAATGACTCCTTCTCGCGTTATGTGACCAGCTTTGAACAGCGATTGAAAAGGGAGGAGAACCACGGCTGGCGGCTTCGTAATAGCTATAGTTGGTGTCAGTGTATGCTATTGAACCAGAAGAGCGCGCTTTATATCTTAAGCGCAACAGCGTACAGCTGTCAGTGGTCAGTGTTTTGTTGTTCTATTTCTATCTATCTATCTATCTATCTATATATCTATTGTAATGGTACACAGTACTAGGCTGGGGTGTCAGCCATCTTCTTTATTTCTAACCTCTTCTTCCTCCTCGTCTCCCTCCAACCCTGCCAAATGTCCACGTACACTCCCCCTCTTTAAAGACTCATCCCTCCTGTGGTGAAACATGAAAACGTTTCCAATGGTCGCAAACTCCAGCACACCATCATCGTTGGTGTAACCGACCCTTTTGAGAACGCCATGTTGCACTGCGATCTGCACCACGCGATAAGGTTCCATGTACACCTGCTTTGTGCCGGGAAGGCCTTTTCTGACAAGCATCAGATCGCTCAGTTGTATCTGAGGTATCCGCGTGTTGTGGCGACGGTCAAAGTTCCTCTTCATACTTTCCCGGAATCGCTGGTAGGCTTCCGAAGTTTTTCGTTTTTCGCACAATTGCAGGCGGTCTGCAATGCAAAGTTCTTGATCAGCAGGAAGCACTGGTACCTTTCCGAAAGCTGAAAAATATGGGCTACAGCTGATGCTCACAGTGTGCGACCAATTGTGATGAGCAACAGCTGCCTCCAAGCAGCACTTCCAACCACCCTGAAAACTTGGATACATTGAAATGAACTGCTTCAAATCCCGAATGATCCTTTCAGCCATTCCATTTCCTGCAGGATGGTACGGAGCGCAGCGTCGCAATACAACTCCTCGTTCCTTCGCCCAATCTTGCAAACGCTGACTGAGAAACGCTGGCCCATTGTCTGATATTACTATTTCCGTATTCTTGAACATCTCTCGACTCAAAAGAGCGATGCACACTATTTACGTCTTCTCTTCCCGGCCATGCAGCCACTATTCTTGTGCGCTGGTCTATTGCCACTAGGAAAGACTGCGTTCTTCTTACTCCTGCAGTTTTCTTCTTGGGCTCTGCGAAATCCAGATGGATGACTTCAAATGGTACGTCGGAATGTTGAGGCAAAACCATCTCGTCTGTTCTCTGGAGGTACTTGGCTTTGTGAACTTGACATTGATGACAAGACTGAGCATACCGTTGAACAACCTGTTTCATAAGTTTCCACTGGAAACGCTGAAGAATCTTGTGATATGTCCTCCAAAAGCCGTCATGTCCACCTGAGTGCGGGGAGTCGTGATAGAGCTCCAAAATTTGAGGCACCATTGTTTCTAGGACTGTGAACTTTCCGTTATGGAACTTAAGTTCTTCGGTTCCCTCCCGCAACAATGTTGCGTTGACATTTTTATGATCAGGAATTACCGCAAGTCTTGAAAGCGCATCTACGTCCTTAAGGTGTTCTCCAGGCCTGCGGTGGACCATGAAAGTAAACTGCTGGGGTTCACTCACCCACCTAGCAATTTTTCCTCGAGGCTCGGCGAGGTTAAGGATACACGTTAAGGCTTGGTGGTCCGTAAAGAGCTAGAAGCTCCTACCATCTAGGTAAGGTCTAAAATAGCGTACGGCCATTAAGACTGCCAAGGCTTCCTTCTCTGTAGTCGTGTAGTTCAGCTGAGTTTTCGAAAAGGTGTACGAATAGTACCCGACGACCCTCTTTTGACGGCTCCGTGGAGAGTCGGTATCTCTCTGGTAAAGCACTGCGCCTGTGCCATAATAATAAACATCGGTGTTCAGTTCAAAGGGCAACTTGAAGTCTGGAAGAGTCAGGACCAGATCCGATGAAATAATGGTCACAAGGCTGTGATAAACAGATTCACACTCTGCTGTCCACTGAAATGGCACATTCTTCTTAGTCATTTCAGTGAGGCATTTGGTTTTGGTCGCATAATTTCTAATGAATGACCCTAAATGCCCTGCAAGACCCAGAAATACTCGCAAAGAGTGCAAGTCACATGGCTTCTGCATTTTTGCGATTCGTTCGACTGATTCCTGTTTTGTTGTCTTGGTTTGGCCGTGCAATACTCTTCCAAGAAACACCACTTTACTTTGGAAAAACTCACTCTTCTTGTCATTAATTTAGAGCTCGGCTTCACAAAGTGCTTGAAGTACACTAGCCAGATGGTTTGAGTGCTCTTCCTCGTTGCGGGAGTATACTATTATATCGTCTATGTAGACGTTACAAAAACTTCCCGATAAACGGTCGCAAGACGTCGTTCATCATTTTCTGGAACCAAGCGGGTGAGTTCTTCCATCCAAACGGATGTCGGTTATACTCATAGATGTCAAAGGGCGTGATGAAGGCAGAATATTTCTTGCACTTTTCATAAATCGGAACTTGCCAAAATTCTTTACATAGGTCAATGCGCGAGAAAACTCTGCAGCCACCTGTGTCATCTATGATACAGTCTATACGTGGCATAGGAAACGAAAAAAGCTCAGTCTGCTTATTAATTTGTCTGTAGTCCGTGCAGAGTCGAAGACTTCCATCTTCCTTTGGTGCAATGGTGGATGGGTGAAGCGAACGTAGACGTGGATGGACGGATAATCTGCGCATCCAACATCTTTTGAATCTCGTTCTGAAGCCACACTTTCTTCTCTCGTGACATATTATAGGGCTTTTTTCTCACCACCGTCGTATCATGAGCTGGAATGAAACCTCAAACTTCGTAGTTGCTGTAGGATATCCTTTCAGGCACAGCAATTCCGGGTAAAGCGTCTTAACATCTTTACCTGACGATGGTTTCCGCGGAGTCCTTGAAGGCAAAACTGCAGCGTTGATAGCGCGGCGCTTTTCTTCTGTGGTAATTTCGCCTGTCCGGTAGATATTGAGGTGAAGTGCACTGATGACTGGACGTGAAAGCAGTAGTTCATACGGAACTCCGTCGAGTACCAGTGCTTGCGCAGTGACAGTGTTGCCGAGACACGATACGGTTATACAAGTCCATTTATCGTGAACATCTCGTCTTCCATCGTATCCGTGTACTTCTACTGGTCTTCCCTCTTTTACTTTCGCCCTCTCAACAATATTTGCGTTAATAACCATGACGCTTGCTCCACTATCAACTAACGCACTCCGTTCCTTTCCATCCACAAAAACAGATATGTACAATAAACTTGCATGAGACAAATAAACAGCTTCTCTTGATGTCGTCGGGTGGAAGCCGAGACCCTCTCTATTTAGTTTTTTGTTACGTGATCTAGCTCTTCGCCATGGTCTGAGCCTCCCTGGGTGGTCAAAAAGGATACGGGTGTTGCGGTAGGTCTCCAGCTTGCAAGCGGTCGTCGTTCCTCAGCTCGTGTGGCCCCGGTATTCCTCGCAGCAGGTGTCATGGGTTGACGCTGGGTTCCTAGGTCCTGGAGGTAGACGTTTCGCATTCCCTGCAGAAGTTCTTCCACCGTCTTGGGTCCTATTTGTATTTGCTTCTGGAGGTCCGGACTTGAACCATGAATGATAAGTGGAACCACAGACGTCTCAGGCAAAGATGAGTCCGCCAGCTGTAGCAAGCGCCTTTTCTCATAAAAATAGCTGAGTGCAGATCCAGACCTGTATTTGAACGTGATTGCTTTGTCCCATAGCAACACCTTGTTCTCGCTGAAGGAGCTCAGAAAGCTTGCTTTCCACTCTATCCATTGTTTGTTGCTGTGAGCGTTGAGACGCCATTCGTACCAACTCTTTGCTATGCCCGATAGGAATAGTCGCATGTTTTTGACTTTATCTTCGTTGTTGTGCTAGTAGTTTTCATTGCATGCATACTCGTAAGACGTGAGCCAGGACTCGGGACTACTATGCTCTCCATCAAACATGTCTGGCTTCATGTGTTCGCGACTCAGT